AACACTCAATAGTGGCAGTTAGGTGTCTCACAAGCTGGGAAACACTCAATAGTGGCAGTTAGGTGTCTCACAAGCTGGGAAACACTCAATAGTGGCAGTTAGGTGTCTCACAAGCTGGGAAACACTCAATAGTGGCAATTAGGTGTCTCACAAGCTGGGAAACACTCAATAGTGGCAGTTAGGTGTCTCACAAGCTGGGAAACACTCAATAGTGGCAGTTAGGTGTCTCACAAGCTGAGAAACACTCGATAGTGGCAGTTAGGTGTCTCACAAGCTGAGAAACACTCGATAGTGGCAGTTAGGTGTCTCACAAGCTGGAAACACTCGATAGTGGCAACTAAGTGTCTCACAAGCTGAGAAACACTCGATAGTGGCAGTTAGGTGTCTCACAAGCTGGGAAACACTTGATAGTAGCTATTAGGTGTCTCACAAGCTGGGAAACACTCGATAGTGGCAACTAGGTGCTCATATAAGGCTATAACTCAACTTTAAGAAATATTTGTAAGCATCATAGAGTTATAGATTGAATGTGTCTGCCCATCCCTGCATACTAAACACTACAGTGTTTAGTGATAAAATCAGTTTCTGAACTGCACCTTGTCTCTTAAATAATCTTATTAAAATATATTTACATTTCCTTGGTAACATTCTAAACAAAATAGAAAACACAGTGATAGCAAGATCAGTTTTTTTTTGTTCTTGAAAAAAAGTTTATGTAGCATGAGGTGATGTGGTCATCTTTTTTTTTCTACATTTTTGAAATCCAAACTAAACTCAGAGACTAACACATTTAAAAATATTCTGAATTTTTAGTCTACGTAGTTTTTTTTAGAACAAGTGGAATTATCTTCTGTTCTCTTAATATATGTCTATACGAAGTGTCCGAAAAGTCTGGAACCAGCGGCACTTCAACAAACATCACAGAATGTGTTCCACAGTTGACCTTGTCAATCAAAAACCAGTTTGGAGATGTATTTTCATTCTCTTTGAACACCGCGAAGCATATTCTCGTCATTGTCAATCGTCTGATGTTCGTTGTTTCAGATGTTTGGGGTCTCTAGTCTTCTCTTTGTACACATGTGTATTAAATTCGGCTACAACTTTCTGCTGGGACTAATCTTTTTTCTGCCACACGGCAGAATTAACTCAACCTTGGACAGCATCGTAACCTGAAATTTAAAAAAGCTGCAAATCACCTATGGTTCCAGACTTTTCGGAAACCCTGAATATATTTATATAGAGAATTTTTTTTTCCCAATATGGGAATGGTTTTGTAAGAGTAAAACATTGATAATTGAAAATATAAATGAAACTGAGAAGATTGGTGATATAATTTTACATTATTTGCATGTTGTTTAGTTTCACATTTCAAGATATGGTAGATGAAAGTTGAAGGTATTTTTAATAAAATACACAAAGCTATTTTAATGAGGTGTCTTATGTAATGATTTTTGTGTTTGTGTTGTTTTTCATTGAACTTAGCTCAAAGAGCCCATTGATATATTTATATCTCATGACTGGCCACGTGGTGTATATAATTATGGAAATAAAGAACGTTTATTGAAAGTGAAGAGGCATTTCCGTGAAGAAATGGAACAAAATAAGTTAGGAAGTAGGCCATCCGAGGAACTGCTCTTGAAACTCCAGCCTCGTTACTGGTTCGCTGCTCACCTTCATTGTAGATTTGCTGCAATTATACCTCATGAGGTATCATTTTTTGTACTTGTTATGCTTATTTAACCTCAAGGCTGGATTTAAATTTTTTCTCTCGTTAGTGTTATGTATTAGTTACAGTTTTTCTAGTAGTAAACAAAAGTTGTTCATTAATAAGTTACAAAAACCCTTAAAACTAGGTATAAATTCTTTATTCAAGCAACTGAAGTGAGACTAAATTTTAAGCATCAATCACTGCGAAACTGCATTTTCTGATTGAGGTCATTACTGAAACTTGACAAAAAATACGTTACTACTTGGAAATATGATAGCTTCATACAGCAAACTTGTCGTAAGGAAAATATTGTTATTATGTGTGTTCAAACATAATTTCTAGGGTGAGTAATGTGATATAATGAGTATCAACATGTTGCACATGTTTATGGCAAGTTATCAGCTAAATGAATGATGTCTCCTATCTTGTCACTCGTGGGAAAATTTGTCTTACCTGAGAATACCACATACACCTACCATTTTGGAAACTACGAAGGTCTTTTTCCTCTTCTTCGGTAGTCCCATAAACAGTCGATGCATCGATGAAAACTGTAATTTGATTTAACTGTTCGCATTGCTTCTAATGACACTGACCTTTTCTCAAATCCTGTCCACTCTTTATAATGTTCATTATTTCAAATTTTCTAATAATTTTTTTTATTATTATATACAGCCCTTGTTATTCTTCCCATTTCTGAAGACGTCATCTTTTAATAAAAAATCTACCTTCAGCATTGGTAATTTCTTACTATTATCACGAAGAACAATTCTTAAATTGTTTCTTGATCTATTTTTTTGATACCAAAATCTCTCGTAAGTTGTTTTTTTTATCATTGTTTTAACAGTAATATTCATTCTTCAAAATGTTCTATATTTTTTGGAAAGGGGGTTTTTGCAATTTTTAAAATTTTACATACCAACCTGCATCCATTAATATTAGTTACTTTTTTTTCATTAATATACACAAAAACTTTCTATAAAATTTTTTGTCACATGTGTAAATACATTTTATTCTTAATGTTTCTTTTTTATTAATTATTTCCACAGTTTTCTCTTGTTTTTAATCTCTTTTTTTTTTCTATTTTTCTCCCTGCCATCATCACATAACATTTAAAATTATACTTAGTTTCTCCCTCCTTATTGTTTTCACACATTCAACCTCCCTCTGTAATCCATTTATTCTTTCTTTAACTTCTTCCCTATGGTTTTCACACATTCAACCTCCCTCTGTAATCCATTTATTCTTTCTTTAACTTCTTCCCTATGGTTTTCACACATTCAACCTCCCTCTGTAATCCATTTATTCTTTCTTTAACTTCTTCCCTATGGTTTTCACACTTATTGAAGGTGAAAAACACTAAGAATTGTGGTGCCATCTATTGGGTTGTAAAGATACTTAAACACTGGCTTTTATGATTCAATATAATTAACTTCCAAGCTTCACAATAGTGTATCAATTCCCCCCATCTTTCCTTACTTTGGGGCCTTTGTTTTTCATTCCTTGAGTAATTGTATTTATTCTCATCTTCCACCTTCCATTTACTTTTATCTCCAGTTTTGGTATTTAAGTCTTGTATAATCATTATTTCTCTTCCTTCGATTCATATAACTTTTTTATATCCTGTACCATTATTTCTATTCATTTTTTATTATATTGCCTTTTCTGTATTCTGTTATCTCTTCCAAATTTTTTTTCCCATCATTACTTTCCATTTCAGTGACATTTTGATTTCAGAGTTCATTTGACCTTTGTTTTCTCTTTAATTCCCTCCACTTCCAGCTATTTAACTGACCATTTAATTATATTTTAATATCTTCTTCTTATTGTGTTTGATTTCTGTTCTGTGTATGTTTCTATAAGCCTAATTATCACATGTTCTCACACACAATTCTAGAATTGTTTTCGTTTACTTTTAATTATTTATCATCTTTTCTTCTTAATCTTTCCACTTTCCTCCAATTTTTTAGCTATTTTCTCTCTCATCTTCTTCATCCTATTCATGTTCCTTGCCAAACCCCACAAAATATTTCTTCCTTTCTGTTTTCCATTTTGCCACTTCTAACATCTTTTTCTGGTTCTAACGGAATAGTCCTCCTTACTTATATTTCCATTATTTTCAGCTGTTATTTGTTTTTTCATAATCCTTTCTCTTTTCTTATTCTTTTAAAACCTATTATTGGTCTTAAGTTTTCCCTCTTAGTGCCCTTGCTGTACGTGAATGGACAATTCCTTTAATTTTCAATCAGAATTCATTCCCTACTAATTACTTTACTTCTGTCCCCTCCATTAATTCCTTTAAACAATAAATTCTACTTTATGATTTGATTTTCTAATTCCTTTTTTTCTTTTTAATTATAATTTTTCTGCTTTAAATGCTGTTTTTAATTTTTTCTTTTTTTTTAATATTCTCTATTATATCATGGATTATTTTCCTTTCTTTTTTAGTTTCCTCCTTCTTAATTTTTTTTTCTTTTTCCTCCTGGATCAGTTTTTTTTTTTCTATTTCCACTCTTCTCCTCTTTGAAACAAATTTTCAAACTTTTCACAAATAGTTCTTTTTGTCCCCTAGTGGTACAGTGATAAGTTACGGATTTACAACACTAAAATTAGGGGTTCGATTCTCCTTGGTGGACACAGCAGATAGCCCGATGTGGCTTTGCTATAAAAAATACAGTTCTTCCCTAATTACAAATTTATCTAATTTGGAATACTACTGGTAACTATTTCTCCTACAAATAAACTCTTCTGTTTATCTCCAAATGTTTTAGCTTCCCTCCGCTTCACCTCATTTCTTCTCTTCACCAATCCCTTCTGTCTTTTTTAAACTTTACTTTCTTTCTATCTTTGTCTTTCAGAAATTGTTTATAAGAAAGTTATTATTGATTTATGCTACTATATGATTACTATATTTCTAAATTTTACGAAACATTATCATACCGCCAAAAATTTCTTTTTTATTAATTTGTTTTTCATATTTTTCCATGTATTACTCATGTTTATTACCATGTGTTCTCTCTAGTACTTGAATTAGTAACTAACTTCTATTTTAGAAATTTAATTTTTAACTGACTTTCACTGTAATTTTGTCATCACCAGATTTCGTATATTTCATTTTTTGAGTTAATTATCATATGGCACTTTTTTATTCCAAGCTTTGATGACACTTTTCTTAGTTTCATGAATGCTTAAAACAGTCTTCTTCGGTGGTTCTCGAAAGTGTGACAGACCACCTGAATTTCTTTAAAATCTCAGTGGACCACAGTGGGATCTATACACTGTGCTGTCATGTCACTTTCTTACCATAATCATGCAATTTTTCTATGGACCACTTGAAGGAAACATGCTAAACACTAGTGGTCTATGGATCACTGATCTACGTCACAAAGACTACTTTTAACGTGGACATCTAAATTAACATTTACTCAAATGAATTAGGATTTTTACAAGACCTGTTAGAATTCTACAAGTAGAATTTAATCTATAAGTGATGAAGGTTTTTGAAATAACGTTAATTCCTTTTATATACCTAAAAAGAAAATTAGGTAGACCAGTAAAGAATTATTTCCTTTTAGTGTTTCAATAAAAACCATGTAAATTGTTTCCAGATATACTTTTTCAATACTTGCGTGTATATGCACTAAGTTTTAACATGAACAAAAAGCAATACATTTTCAGTTACACTTTAATATACTTAATCTTCAAATAATGGAAGAAAAAAGGTGATTTTTCAGTATTTTGTTTTTGACAGAATTATGTAATCCTTTATGTTTTTAACAAGAGAAAACTTGTTTCTGTTTTCACACATCTCACATTTTGTTAGTATGTACAATTCTACAGTCTTGTATTAAAATCAATTGTAATAAACCCTCTGACAGCAACTGGTTTGTTTTCTTTCTCTTCCAGAGCAATGATGGAGGAACTAAAAAGTTCACTAAGTTTTTGGCACTTGACAAATGTCTACCAAAGCGTAATTTTCTACAGGTGTGTAAATTATTTCATTTATTGAAGCAAATAAACAAATAGTAGAATTTTTAAAATTGCCGATTGATGCTTTTCGAAAGTTCTTAACGTGCAGTTGGTACAGTTCGATATTGTAAGTAGTTGTTAATAACAAGAAGATTGTAGAAAATTTTACTTTTGAAAAGTTTTTAATTGAAATAATTAAAAATATTCTTAAAATCCTGAAAGCTATTAAACGTTTTACTGTAATTTGTGTACTTAACAGGGTCTTAGGGCTGTATGATGGGTTCTTGTAAAAAAAAATTATTGTTTTCTTAAAAAATATTTTTACGGAATTTTCTGTAAAACTTGTATGCTGTTACTAGTCTGATATTGTCGCATTATTTTTGCAGATCTTAGACATGGGGGAAACCATCCAACCACTAGAAATTCTGTATGACAAAGAATGGCTAAGTGTACTCCATTCTACTAATGGCCTTCTTGGACTTACTAGTGCTTCCAACTATATGCCTGGTCCTGGTTGTTCTGAGAGGTAAAGATAGATAGTTTTATTCTGTATATTATAGCATTATGTCCAAACATGCTCGCCCTTTCAGCCGTGGGGGCGTTATAATGTGACAGTCAATCCCACTATTCGTTGGTAATAGAGTAGCCCAAGAATTGGCGGTGGGTGGTGATGAGTAGCTGCCTTCCCTCTAGTCTTACATTGCAAAATTAGGGACAGCTAGTGCAGATAGCCCTCATGTAGCTTTGCGCGAAAACCGTAACAAACAAACTCTTCAGAATGAGTAGCAAATTTAACTCTGTTAATTAGTCCTAAGTCATTAAAGAACACAACCGTAGGCAGTACTTTTAAACAAAGATGATCGGTTTTTGTATTGTTCAGTGTATTCGTAAAAAGTCAACGCAAGATTTTGTTTGTTAAACCTAATAGTTTGCAGGTGGACTTTTAACTTCTGAAAGCTTTAGTTTCTGTTAAGTCAATTTAAATATTTTAAACTCCCCGAGACGTATTCCAGTCATTGTTTTTAGTATTTACCTTGCAGACTTTTCAACAAATTTCCAGTATTCGGTTTCTAACAAGTTTAAAGTTTTGCCTGTTAGGCGTAAAGGTAAATCTTGCTTTGGACCTCGTCAAATGTGACGACATTTCGCTAACGTCTATACTTTGCAACAGTTGTAATCCGACGATATGTATTAAACCTTTTAAAAGAGTTCTGGAAATACAGAAGGACATGAGAAAGTTGATAGAAAATGGGAGATTTTGCAATATTATGTTGTTGTTGTTATTGTGAAGCTACACAATGGGCTATTTGCGCTCTGCCCACTCTTGTAAATCTGTAAACTTACCGCTGACCCACCGGGTGACACGCATCTTTATGAACATTTCTCGAAGCTACCTTACACATCTGGACATTTACTGCGCATGTTGTTTGAAAACAAAATGTCATTTAAAAGTATGATAATTATTTAGTCACATTTTATTCTAGCCCGCGGAGCCACTTGGACAGTATACACCATTATTTGTTAACTTTACATTTGTTAGATTGATAATGTGTGTGTGTGTGTGGTTGTTACTATTATATATATATATATATATTTCAGAGGGCAATACAATAGGAACCTTTTGGGTAATGTTTGGTGTTAAGCGCAAATTTACACAAAAAGCTGTCTGTGCTGTGGTGGTGTTAGACAGTAAGAACAAATTAATTCAAAAGGAATTATCAATTATTTTTTTTATTTTTCAGATGGGATTTTAGCCCAACAGAACAAGAACTACACGAACTAGATGAAAAGTTTCAAGGACAGTATAAAATACCTCAGAATTTTTGTCTCACGGCTCCCGTCCACGATCACAAATCTTCCAGAAAAAAAGTCCCAGAACCCGAATCTTACATAAATCCCCAAACCACCCAATTCTGCCAGAAATTGGGCATCACGGACCCACTGTCGGCATTTCTTGCTAAGAGTCCTTCTGCCAACATCAGCATTCGGGATTTCTCTTTCGTGGACGAAAGTGAAGGAAACGTGACAAACGTGTCGCAACCGTCATTTAATCCAGACGAAATAACGTTAGACGAGGACGAGAGTAGCTCGAGTGACGTCGATTTGTCGGAAGAACCTTCTTCGGTTAATCCCGAAGATGTTGCTGTCGATGAAGATGATATGTACAGAAGCTCCGCAATGGAAAATGAGTCTCCTGATCCAAAAGACGAAGAGATGGTTTTTTCAAGTTCTTCACAACTAGAAGAAGTCAACGAATCTTTACCATCAGAAAAAGACGTGTTTTTTCTTGATACAAAAGGTTCTGGGCTGGAAGAAACCAATCGCATCACCAGCACTCCAGTGTCTAAAACATCCAAGAAAAATTCGCCAATTTTAACTGACTTTCCTGAATTTAAAGCAGAATTGAAACGAAGCGTGCAAAGCGCATCGGACGTTTCAGTCACGTCCAATTCTACATCGATTCCCGTAATGAAAAAAATGAAACGCAGAAATCAAGCAATTTATTCCGGCGCAGAAGATGACGAGGATTCTTAAATACTTCTTTTTTTTACTGGCTGTGTCTGACTGGCAAAACCATTAATGTACATACAGAATGGGTTGGAAGTGTCTTACAAATAGTACTTTTCTCTCTCAAAACAAAAAGTAAAAAAAACTACACGAAAAAATAATAAATAGTTATCAAAATCCTCCTAATGACTCCGGAAAACAATGTCAACTTTTCACTAAAATAGTAAACAAATGTGATTGAGAATGTATTTCCGAACAGTACTTCAGTGTTTAATTGATGGTCAAAAATCTAGTTGTTTTTTTTTATATATAACACATTTAATTGTTTGCTAAAGTTTTGCAATTTGAAAAATTTCAGTATACAAAAAAACTACTACATATTACTACAAACCCCCTCCCATAAGATAACTACAGATGTTTCTTGAGAAAAAGCTATATAAAAATCGGTTTTAAGGATGGCTTACAACAATCTAAACAAAAAGTGGTTAAAGTAAATTGAATAAATAGCAAATTTTAAAAGTTTCAAATTGGAGGTACAGTCAAGCAGTTTGTAATACGAATTGTAATATTTTGTTATAAAGATTAGGGGTGTTATATCAGACATTTTTTGTAATGTTACAACCAGAAAGCTTTTTTGTGGAAGTACCAGGATTCCAACCTATGATCCCGGGATTCGAATCCTGATAATTCCACAAAAAGAATAGGGTGTATGGACTTGAATATGCAGTAATGGATGAGAACACTTTCATTTAATGGGCGATTCACAAAATATGATATTTAATTTCGTATCTTATAACAGTGTTATTAAAGTGTCGTTGTGCAAAAACATGACATAAAGAAATGGGAAAAAAGAGTGGAAATGGTTGTTTTCAAGATTTTGATTGACAATACTTGGTTTTTTGAGGACTAGTAACTCCACTTATTTTTGCAAATCGATAAGCAGACCAGTTGAAAACCGTATAATGTTACAGTTTTCTGTAATTTATAGGCTTTAACCGCCATGCTGTGGAAAATCATTTTTGGCTCGTGACTTGCTAACGTTTACGTTGGTTTAATACAGTGGTGATTGTGTATTTAATGTAATGTGTTAAAAATCCAAATGACGAGCAGAAACACGTTTTTTTTTTTTTTT